TCACCACCTGCACTGTACGACCAGCCTCTTCATTTCTGAACTTACTGCACATTAACATCATTTCCTTGCCAGAACAAGAACTGTGCCATGCTGCTGTGTCATACCCCAAATACAGGTTCTCTCTTGATTTTGTCCTGGAACAGCCACAGCTTATGAAAGAGCAAATACCTTGGCACAATGAGGGTACGGATGGTAGCAGCACTAACATCCCCTTGGTCATCTAACCTTTGCCCAACACTTGTCACTAAATCATTCAGAAAAAAAAAGGTGGATCAAGCAGCACGTATCATGATTCACGCACATTTATGTACAAGATGTACTTGTTTTTGCAGAGTATGTGGAAAAACTGCCAATAGTTTGCTGTGCACAGGAATATACTAATGTGCCCGTCAAGGTATAAACAGAGCTGCAATATAATTCATCATTCCTACTGGTATCTTGACAGGACCCTTATTAAGTCACCAAAGTTGAACCTTGCACCAGATCGTTTCACTAAAGGAAACAAACAACTGTTTTGTATACTTTTGCTGTTTTTGTTCCAGGCAGAGCCAACTTCCATGCTGTCAGTGCTGAAAGAGCTGAGGCTTTAGATCAGAAGAAGAAATACATGGCTGACTCAAGCTTACCTAATAAATCTTGTTGGCTATCTCAGAGACAGTTTTCTTCAGTATTTTGGTTCAACTCTAGCTTTCACCTGCTAGCTGACGGATCTCCTATCATTAGCCTGTGGGAGGAACAAGATTAACATCTGATATTCCGGGGGAGGAAAGGGAAAATTATTACGATTCATTTCGTTCCTTTTTAAAAAATGGCTTGTTATTAGTTACTATTTTTATGTGCTTCATTAGAGTGAGGAGTGACAAAGGAACTTCCATCTACTTGCACTTGACTCTTTGGGGTAGAGCTTGGGGATGCCTCTTCCCCAGCAAGGAGGCGTCTCACAGCTCCAGAGCGGTGCCACCGGCACAGGGGGAGCTTTGTAGACGTGAGATGGCAGGCTCACTCTGACAAGCAGTATATACATACATAAAATATATATAAAGTATATAAAAATATACTCTGACAAGTATATTACTGAGTTTCTTGACTGACACAACATTTCCATCTGTATAAATACTAAAATCCAGGGCAAAGTTATATCCTAGTTTAATTAATAACAAAGTCAGAAGTCCCCAAATGCTGGTTATTTAGCTACTTGATTGCAGCCATTCTTAAAAATGTGTGGTCTTGGGTTAGAGAGTGATAGGAGCTGGCGCCAAACTTCTCAAACGAGACATTTGTTTTCTACCCACCAACCCACCATGTTGTCACCACTCTTAACCCTTGGTGACTGTGCAAGAAGGCAAGTCAGCAATAGCTATGGAAAAGCACTTATAGAAGATGCCAGAAGAACAAAAATACAGGACCTCCTCACCCCTTCCACACTCTGCTCAGCAATCCAATATGCTGGATGATGCACTCGCTCAGGCCACAGATGTTTATTTCTCCTTCCCCAAGCCTCCAATACCCTATAGCACATACAATTTCCAGTGTACTAGAAAAAAACTCTAGTCTAGAAATGCTGTTATTCAATGTTTAAAGTAGTCTGTGCTGTAAGGTGCTGTTATAACCAGGTGATCCCCACTGCGCTCTTCCAAAATCTCAGTGGAGTCAACAGAGGGTCATCATCTCTATTTCAAGTTAATGCTCTTTATAATTTTCCTAGCAGATCGAAATCTGTGAGGGTTCATAAACTCTCACAGAAAGTAGAGACAGGTTCTAAGACTGAATCATCATCTTCTAATGAATATTCTCATTTTGAAAAATGTTTCCACTGTTTATTGAGGCATCTGATAAAACGCAGTCCTATATCAAGATTATTTTAGGCTACTGAAGAGAGCATATAAATAAAACTAAAATCAATTTTAATACTAATTTATTTAAATTAATTGGATAGGCATGCATATTAATTGTGTTTTCATTTTTCTTTCAGATATTTTTAGTGAACGGTGAAAACAAGATGGAAAACATCTGTTCCAGGTGAATGACATGCATAAAAGCCATCAACAGGAACATTACACAAAGGCTGGCCAAGACTCTTAGCATTGCTTTACAAACAGTGCCTAGTGCATCTTAATAGACTGAGCTTAGAAACCAAAAGAAAGACATTCTTTCTGAAGAGTTATGCTAATCAAGGTTAAAATATACACAATTTGATACAGAAGATGAACTGAAAGCATAGAAAAATATGTGGACCAAAAATAGGAAATTCTGACAAGGTACTGCAACAAAATAAAGGTTAAGTTCTAATTTCAGCTCTGCTAGTGCTCAGGTTTCAGTATTATTATTCCAGACTTAGGTCAGCATAACAAAAATCAGAATCTGGCCTGGTCTGTATATTGCCTGAGAATTAAGTGATATCCCAGCAGATGCTATATGGTTACTTTTATGAGTCTGGTCATTCTTTTCACTGTGATTAGTATCATTTCAATCTTATCAACAAATTGGTGTAAACCTTAAGAAAATTAAATATAAACTTAATGACATATTTCAGAACCCAAAGTCTTGGTAAATAAAAGGAAAAATTATGTTGGTATATTACCTGAAAAGCAGATACTTTTGAAAAATGGGCTGGTTAATTAGGGTGACAAAATATTTAAGTAACATATTAAAATAAAAGGTTTTGTTACCTGAAGTTCATTCTGTCCACTCACCATTTATATGTGCTCTGTATCTATATCTGTATATGTGCGTGCTCACCACTGTGCTTTCACAAATTCAGAGTGCACAAATCTTTTGGGTTGCTTTTGCACATTGAAAGCAGAGGTGCCCTTTAGAAGGGCTGCGTTCTGCTTGCAGCTTTTTCCTAGCAATGTAAAGGAAATCGTATGCACAATAAACAGGTTAAGTCTTATCAGCGAACAAAACATTTTCCTCAGATAAGCTCTCTTTTACACTCCTCTGATTTTTTCCATAAACCCATACATTCTATTCTGGCTTCCATTGCAACTATTAGGTCAAATCCAAAGTGAGCACAATAGATACAGGAATATATGTGGAGCTAATTAAAGGAGCTGGAGGACATCCAAGAAGATATACTATTATGAAATATTTACTTACCTTCCAGAGGTCATACAAAGAACTTTAATTATATTTCCAGGTTCAAAACTGCATGGAAATGAAAAGGGAGAACCTCCCACAGGAATATGAGAATGTGATCTAAAAAGGCACCATCAGATAATAGGACAGGATGCTTTAGGACTTATTAATGCAGGGAACTAGCAGTAATGAAGTGAAAACACTCCTTTTTTCACAGATATGTAAGAACTAGACCTAGTCTACAAGACCACAGTGTTAAAACTCAGGAAAACCACACTGCTAGCAGGTAAGGCTTCTCTTTCTAGTTCCCCAGTTTTGGAGAAACATTCTTGCAGTATATACTAAACAACAGAAATATTTTTTCCAATCTCTCTTTTTGACTTCCTTTGATACGTAAACTATGCAGTCAAGATTTAAAAAACAAACAAAAAACACACATGTTTGGATTCCCCAGTTGGAAACCCTATTTATTAAATTGTTGCTTCTTTGTTTCTGTTAACTGAAACAGTTAAACTGTCTGCAATGGGGATGTTTGGCCATCTTTTCCAAAATCATCAGCAGGGCAGGCTAACTGATACACAGGACACGAAAATTTTAAGATTCAAACATTCAGAAAGTGAGAGAGAGGACAAACCCGGCCACCTGGGGTGTCTTCCACATCCATTCGGAGCAGGACTGCACTTTTGAAGCAATTCTCATAGTTGTTCCCACTCCCTGCACTTGGTTTTCATCTGAAGACAATCTCAGAGCACTCAGAGAGATTTTCATTTGTATGAAACTCAAGTGTACAATATACTCCAGGACAGCACATTACACGCTAATGGACAGCGAATCCACAGAACCACTGGCTGGTCAAAAATGAATCCCCCACCAAAAGCATACGCTGTTTACACTACACCCTCCAGCATGGCTTTACCCTACAGATCTCCTGCTGTGTGGCACAATTCATTCATGTCCCCATTACAATATAGGACAAGGATTATACTCAGTTAATTCAAAGCAAGATGAAAAGGAAAAGGTAGAATATGAAAGGACTTATTCTTCATTGTGTTTTGGGTTCATAGACACTGAATAGTCCTATCTTTGCCTTCCTTTCACAGTTTTTCAACCCACAACTTCTCACTCTCAATAACATAACTTCATTTCACCTTAGTCTGTTTTGAGACCTAACGATCAGGCTCTGGATATTGATGTTTTCCCTTAAGGCTCTTTCAGGAATCTGCAGTTTTTGGGAAGATCCTGGATTTTACCTTTTGCTTGTGCCATTTTTTTAAATAAGTTTCTAGTCCTGAGTCTTGGCAACCGTGATGAAAAGGGTTATAGTGTAGTTCAAGAGTAGTCTTTTAGTTTATGAGTCAGAAAAGACAAAATATAAGATATAAAAATAAAATACTGTTATTTTAATTTAACTGTGGCAGGGCGAAGGAGGAGAAAGTACTAATGCTTAAAATGTGAATTCCTGTGGCTGACAACTGTTTCATCCAACCCTCATGCTGACACAGCCCAGTTACAGTATTGCAAACATTTCATGTGGAGTGAGACCTCTCTGTTTTATGTACAAACCACAAAGCCCTCTGCCATTGCACAAAACTCAGAAGCCGACCAGCTATCTTTTCAACAGCTCAGAGTCTGAATGAAGATATATAGAAGCCTTATCCTTTTTTAGGATGCCACAGTTTGCAGAAGAGCCCAGGATTTCTCAGGAGGTCTGGGAAAAGACATGTACGCCTGCATAAACACGAGATTTCCAACCAGCCTTAGGTACATGGGCTGCAACTCTACCCTGAAGAGAGGCCTCCGCAAGAAGCGTACGGACTATTAAACGCATTCCTCCTGACTTTAAACAGGATTCTGCCAAAATACTTCAATGGAGATGGTCAGCTGGTTGCTGTGATGAAGTGAGACAGTGGCCCAAGCTCTGTCTACACCACAAGACGAGGAAGCTGGTAGCTGGTTAGCGGTGCAGTGCGCTGACCGGGGCGTCTCCAGCAGCCATGAACCCGAGCCAGGACGCGCTCCCGTCCGCAGAGCATCTGCGCACGTCGCCGTGTGCTGCTCACAGACGCGGTGCTCTCCAGCGCCAGGAATGCACAGAACCAGCCACTAAGGGCTCTGGACCCGCTAATTCAAGGCCAGGATTTATAAACAAAGAACTGAAGAACTCTGGCTCCCTATGTGCCTTGCAAACTGAGAGCAGGTGAATTTGTCCTCAAACATCTGGGTGATTTTCTCTGTGGTTCAAGTCTCTGGAGACTGCCCTATTCTTTTTTTTTTTAATGCTGGCACAAGTGCAAAAAAAAAAAAAAAAAAAAAAGAAGGAAAAAAAAGGACTAAAACAATGCACGAGCCAAACAGTAATTAAAACTTCCCCTTGCATTGCACTGACATTATGAAGCCGTGGGTGGATTCACTGACACAGTAGTGAAAGTACGAAATCGGCATGGGCTCCATTCTCAGGAGATGCACTGCTGCTGGCACCCGGACAGGAACGCCTACAAGTCTTGAGAGAATATGATAGCTGACCCAAAATATTTGTATACACTAGGTTATTCAAACATTTTTCAAGATATTTCTGAGAGCGAGCATTATTTTAGTTTGATCTCTGGCTCTGTGCTCGAGAAACATCTTGCACTTAACTGCAAATTTGCTGGGAATCTAGATTATATCCCAGCACTGAATGCTTGGCCAAAGAGATCAGGAGATTCTGCCAGGAGAAATATACACTAGAAGACAGACTGCTTGAGCGCATTTTACCAGTATTCCACCACATCTTGGACTGATTTGAAACAACCAATTGCAGTTACATCCAACCACAACGAACAGTCAAATTGGGCACATTTCATAATGAACCACCTTAGAAGGAATTGAATTTATATGGAAATTCTTGCAGTCTTTACAGAGAGGGAAGCAAGAGCTCATAGTAAGAAAAGAAAAAAGCTTTGTACCTCAAGTGTGTATGGATAGCCTTGGCTCTTATTTGTTTTTTTTTTTTTAATCTTCTTTTCATGCATGTCTCTAAGGTCACAAAGAAATTATGAGCTTTCTTTCCTCTTAAAAATTCTACAAGTTGTATGCCTTTTTTGCCATTAAATAAATGAAAAACAACTAAGAATCTAATATGGTATAGAAATTTAAGTTAATTAAATGTAGACATTTGAAGGGGAATAAATAACAAAGGCACTCTAAAAATAATAGAATTGTTTTGCAACACAAAGCATGCACTGGGGTAAAATTCAGGGAAAAAACAAACAAAAAGAAACAAAATAAAACAACACAACAACAGCGAAACAACCTGCCCCCATAAGCTACCTATTAGGAGTCACTACCAGTCACTTAGGGCTTTAAGAACTGGATCGTCTGAAGCACAAGAAAAGGCATTTCATGAAAGAGGTTTTAACGTTAGGGATGGGGCCCAAATGCAAAAGTTCATAAACCAACGTTCACTGACAAAACTCATGCAGAAATGTGCAAGAGGAAAAAAACCAGAAATGCTCAGGGGGTTCAAATCCCAGTCCTCCTTATCAAGGAAATGACCTAAGCATGGGACTGCCCCAAGTTCTCCCCACTGTTTCACTGCCGGTAGAGCCTCTAGCTGTAGATGTTGGCTGCGCTATGGCACCGTCTCACCGCATCTGTGCATCTTTGCAGTCTGGATCAGGAGAGCATTTCTGAGGCAAATCTCTTGAACACTATCAACTGCGCTTAGGTTCACAACCTGGAGTGGTCTCAGGACTGCACACTGGCTTCCTTTCACATGACACCCAACTAGAAACGAGTCCCAAGGGAGCACCTAATGTTCTGCAGCTGGTAACAGGCATTCCTCGGAAACAGGCAAGAGCTAGCCCAAAGTGTATGCGTTTAAAATTCAACAATGGGGGACACTACAGCTTCAGTCCAGGTCATTTATATGCACAGATTTGCTCCTGCCGGGCCTCTGACACCTCTGGATTATTCTTTCCTTCAATAAAAAGTCGATTCTACAATACAGAACCTACAGCCCATCACAGCCTACTTCCTTCTCTAATGATTTTGGTCTGCCAACAGCTCTAAATCCTTACACAAGGACTCTACTCTTCCCCTCAGCCCTATGACTGATCCTCTACACCTCCAGAAATATTCATCCTGGAAATCCGTATCTCTGTGAAGTCTTCACACACATACTTGCACACTAACAACATGAATGTAACCCACACAGAAACATGGCAATGAAAAAAAAGGCGGTTACAAATAGTACCAGCTCCCTTTTCTGGCATCCAGAGACCAAAAGGAACTAGGAACAAATCTGGTATCCTCTACTGGGCAGAAGCATTAACTAAGGCTTCCCACAACCCCTACTGTGTGCTCTACTGACCAGGCCTTGAAAGTACCTGGATCTCATTTCCTTTCTCTTCTCTCATCCGGTGACTATTAAAAAAGATGAGACAATTTTAGAATCTAGTTAGAATTCCACTTGTATCACAACATGGGTGCCTACCCTGGCAATTTACCCATGAATCTAATCCTTCTGTTTGTTCCAATTGCTAAAATGTTTACCAAACTTTCAAAGTGGCACAAACTAATTTAGATTATAGCAGAGTGCCACCTAGTGCTAAGCAGGTTTGAATCTGTACGACCTGATCCTATTGTGAGAAACTCTTGATCAAAAATTTGCTCTTCAGCTACGTTAGCAGGATAAGCCACCCTCTCGGAGAGGGTGTGTGGAATGCTTACAAAATATCAGAGAGGAAGATTGCAGGAGAGCAGGAATTAATTACATCCCCTCCCTTATGAAGTTGGCTTAGCTTCCATTCTGATACACGAAGGAAAAATAGAAATTCTGACAAACAAAAATGCACTCAAACTACACAGGCAAGGCCCAAGAATGCAGGAAAAGTCATGTTTATTTTAAACTTAGCTTTGCAAGAAGAGTTCCCTGAGGAGATAAGGTAAAGGCTCCACTTGTGGCCTCTGAGAATGGCCTTACCTACAAACATAGCATAGAAAGACAAAAATTTTTGTTTCCTAAATGATTTTACTGACCTAAAGGAGATTTGAGACTGGCTGAGAGGGACGGGGGAAGAGAAATTCCTTGAGAACTCAAATAGAGATGAAGCATTAAGCACGGAAAAGCACTTCTCTAGCAAGGATGATGTTCACATGCTGTCAATGATCTTCCTTAAGAGCAACAGAGGAAGAACTGGGAAATGCCAATTTTATATTTTCTTTCAACACACCCAACAACAGGTGCTTTGTAAAGCAAGATTTCCCAGAAAATGCTAGCCATGCTACAGGAACCTCACCCCCTTCTCTCCATGAGGGCCACAAATGGTTATGAACAACTGGCTCACACAGATTTGTTGGGGTGGAGCACAGATATTCCCAAGAAAACACAATCTGAGATAAAGTCTATTTGCTGCTTGATGCTGTTGTCTTCCTTGGGTGTGTTTAAGAAAGCAAAGGAGATTATTTGCCATTTATTTTGAAAAAAAAAAAAGGCAGTATCTTTATAAGTAGTAGTAGTGCTGGTTGGAGTGAATCACAAAATAAATCCATGTATAAACTGAGTTTCTGGTTCTTGTCTCATCTCAGACTGAAGTAAAGCCATGAAATACCACTTCAGCTATTGCAAGTATGGGCAGAAGCAATTTTTCACTTTAAAAATGAACAAATAAACTAAGATTTCAAGATGCCTTAATAAATGTTTACAAATATATGTAAATGCAGTATTTATTGTACATATTATATACCATTATATTCTGTACATATATATATATACACACACACACATACATACACACACCCAAACATATATATGCATTATTACAAATACCACCCTGCAGTGGTAGATATTAGCATGATTCATGAGTTGACCTTTCTTGGTAAAAAGAGCAGAGTTTGAGTAATATGGAATACAAAGACACAGCCTTTGAGCCCTCTGCCCGCTGTGCAGCCATTACACAAGCTAAAGCCACCTGATCTTTTCTTCTCCTGTTGATCACAAGTCACCAGCTCTGACACAGAAGGTTTATTCTGGAGGATGACAGAGGTGCCACCCTTGGAGATGATGCTGATTTTCAGCTGCTGTTACCATGATGGAAGAATTTGCCCCAGCCCAGCAGTGTGTTAGCAGCGGGTGGTTTGGCAACGCCTCGGTGGGCTGGTGGCCTCAGGACACCTTGCCGGTGACCATTGCTTGGGAAGTCCCCTTGCCTAGAGGGATCAGGAGGGGAAGTGCTGCTGTCGTCCACATTACCCGCTCTCCTGAAGAGGGTTTCTCATGCCACATGAAATGAACCTGCCTCTTCCCAAGCACCACAGGAGCAATGTCCCCTGTCATCATGCAGGTTCCTGGCCTGCATGTTGATTTGCCACCAAGAAATCCCTCATCTATACAAATAAGTATTGTCATCACCACAGCATCTATTTTGGTATATTAATATATATTATTTAGTAATATTATTTTATATAGATTTCTATTTCTGACAGGACAACACACTCCAGTTTCACACTCCTTTCCATGCACAGAGAAACCAGGAGGCCAGAGTGAAACCCTTTGCAAAAGCCTCCCTGTTTGTTGACTCCTGAGCAGGGACTTGATTTTTTGAGTTTCCACCTAAGGTGCTCCACTCAGCTGCACCTCTTCACACCCCTGTTCCTGAGGCACCGTCCACACCAGACCCTCCATCTACTCAGAATCCCAGTTTAGCGGACAACTTTCTTTTGGGAAAGCGCCGTAGCAGCCAAAGGCACTTAAATTCAAGCAGCAATAAAGAGTTCTGTCTTGCAAAACTGCTTAGACAAAACAAAGAGGCTAATTCTGAATGATCTGCATGATACTGTATAATGGAATCCTCTTTTGGTTATTGCATTTGAACTATTCAGACTGAAACACAATGCTCAGCTGTAAAATATTTTCTTTTTGGCAGCTCATAATCTTGTTCCAAAGGCACATGTGAAATACATTCCTGGGTAATCTCAGAGTGAAGTGGGCCAGATGGTAGCAGTCAGATGTGACCCAGTTCTTCTTAAGCTTTCATATTTTCAAAGATGTGTGCTTAAAAACCTCATGCTTCTCTCCTGCAACATATATATTTCGGACACTGTTTCTGAGGCCGTTGCAAGCCTCAACAGAACGGTCACCT